CCCACGCTGCCCCCTTGTTAGATCCAATTGGCACCCTCATGGCCCCCACGCTGCCCCCTTGTTACTTCCACCTTGCCCCCTCATTGCCCCCACGCTGCCCCCTTGTTACTTCCACCTTGCCCCCTCATTGCCCCCACACTGCCCCCTTGTTACTTCCACCTTGCCCCCTTATTGCGTCCGGGCTGCCCCCTTGTTACTTCCACCTTGCCCCCTCATCCTTGCCCCCTTATTGCGTCCGTGCTGCCCCCTTGTTACTTCCACCTTGCCCCCTCATTGCCCCCACGCTGCCCGCCGAGGAGCCTCTTTTGACTTGGACAGGCCCTACCCCTTGCTACTAGTTACTAGTAGCTTCTTGTTCCTACTAGTAAGGCACTTGTTACTACTAGCGATGCACTTGTTACTACTAGCTTATTGCTATACTAGTAGTCGACAGGTCTCCTGGCGTCACCTGTCCACCTGCTCGGCACCCGCACCCGCTCGACGACCGCCGCGCGCGGTGTCCGACCGCGCCTCCACTCGGAAGAGAGGACAATGGTGGCACCCGTTTGCTGCACGATCTCGGTGAAGGCCCTCGCCCTCTTTGGGCCCACATCCCCGAAGACATGCATGAATGAAACAATTCAATATCTTTATAACCATAACATGTAGTACAATGCACTATATGTAGTATACAGCAATAGCACTAGCAATATATTGCTTGGATATCTTATTTTCTGGATTTCTGGTGTTGTCAGGCCCAAGGCCTGCCCCATGATTTCATGTGGGGGCGGGGGCAACATTGGAGAGACCTCAAGGTCTGTAGGTATCCTCTGAGTAGCCAACCCACACGGCATACCCCCCTCCAATTGGCTCGGAACCTCTTGGATTCCCGAACGGCGCGCAAACTGCCCATGGCTTGCGCCGAAAAATCGCTCTCTTTGACCTGCGAAACCGCAGGAAAGCAAGGAGAGGAGGGGATGTTTGTTGCGCACATCGGGATGAGGTCGCCCCAAAGAGCCAACTTAGGAGCCAACATGGGAGCGATCTACCGCACTCTTAGTGGCGGTTGGGAGCGATCGATTTCGTATCTGTCCGCAGAACTGAAGGTCGCTGCTTGTAGGTGTGGGGCAGTGGCAGAACTGAACCTCCAAAACCATCTGCCGACCTGGCAAAGTAGTTGCCAGACCCGACTTTCATAGTACAGCCAAAGCTTTTGAGGCACCAAACCATATCAAACCAGGTCAAAGAAAGGAAGATCAGATGCTTCATGGTCCATCATGGTCCCATACTTGGAGTTTCTCTCGGCCGTTTTTGTGGCAAGAGGCGCGCACAGGATTGATCTGCCCAACGGTTGTGTCGCAAGAACAAGGGATGCATCGCACATGATCGGCAGCACGACATCGTTCAAAGGTCAACTGATCCAATCACCTCATCTACCACTCCTTCCCGCGCCGCCCTCCTCGCCTTCCTCCCTCCTTGTCTGCCCTGGTGCTCGGCCTCTGGGCCGCCCCACATGGCTCTTGGCTGGAAGAGTCACTCCATCCACCACGATCATGTCAATCGAGCCTTTCTCGCTGGACCGCACTGACATCGCGCGCGCGCGCCGATGAATCCACGAGACGGCGGGTTGCGTGGCTCGTTTCGAGCATTTCCTGGGATACCGTGGGTGGCAGTCATGTGATCATATGTGATCCTTCAGCTCATGGTCTTCTGGGATTCCCCCAGCATGTGGGGTTATATAAGGAATGGTTCATGACGGACTGCACAAATGAAATCGGGTGAAGATTCTCGATACGGAAAGGCAGGGGGAGCTGATGTTTATACTTTCAACATATTTCAAATAATTACAGCCGAAGATATCAACAGCTAGATTCTCATTATATGTGCCAACAATTGCCAACATGTGTAGCATCAGTAGCAGGGGGGTGTGGCACCTACCACATGTCTGTGCAATGGGGCCTTTGAGATGATAAACATGGCTTGAACACAGGAAGTTCCATTCCTGCTGAGATCTCCAGCAAACATCCAATCACCACGAAAAACAACGCACAAAATACACCTCTAGTAGAATTGTGCAACATGATTCCTACAGCTGACTGTCAGACTATCACATACTGTGACTACATCCCAGCCCCTCCAACTCATGTCAAGCATGTGCATCGGACAATTCCTGGAGAATTCCATCGGCTATCTCATCAAATCATGTATAGATCTCTACGTCTCCTGGAAAAAGCGCCATCCAGTTCGCGCGCGATCGAACCAACGGCGGCGGTGTTTTTCCGGCACCTGCGGGTAGGATGACCCCATCCACGTCTAAAAAGATCACCCTGGCGCTTTCCGGAAAGCGCCAGCGGCGCGCGTTCCGCGACGCTTCGCGGCGGAAAAAAGAAAGGCGAAGGAGAAGCCAGCCCAGCAAAAAACACAAATAAACATAGATAGATTCTCTGGCAGAAGAACAGCTAATTATAGTGTATAGCAACAGCCTCAAACACTTCCAGAATTTCAACAAAACCTACTATAGAATCAACCGCAGGAAAAAAAACAGGTAGAATCAGATTTTACAGTTCTTCCGGCTTGAATTGAGCATTTAAATTTATACAATGTGACCATATATGTGACCTGATATGCTCATCCGCAAGTGCTCGCTTCACACCCAATCGTGGTCCTGCCCATCTGCCTGCTCCGGTCGGGCTGGGGAAGGGCAGGTCGTGAGAGGTGGTGCTTCACCTGACGAAGAGCCGAGCGAAAGCCGCCTCCCGGCCGCCCGCGCTGTCTCTCTCCGTGGTGTTTCTTAATGGCTTAACTGATCCGTTGGTGGCATGGGCATGAGATCCAGCATGAAACACTGCAGATGTTACGTGTGCAGACCACATTCACCATTAGGGTAAACATGGGTAAACATTGGTGCTTCTTGAGAGTTTCTGTTGGGATTCCTGGCGGAGCTTGAGGCTCCCCTTCATAGTCTCGTGATGGGCCGGTTTTGCCCCTCAAGGACTTTGGCAGGCAGAAGTGGGGCAACTGGGCTTGTGCATATGTGCCACATGTCAATAAGATACCAAAAATGACACTTATCTATAGATCGCGCCGGCGTTTGGACTCGGTTTGATTCGGCTTGACTCCGCATTCTCAAGGCTGAGCACTTGCCAAATCGAACACCCAAGGCCGGCCACGCGAGTGGAGTCAGCTCGGAAACAGTCCGGGTGGAAACAAACAACTGACCCGAACTCACATGGTTTCGTGCCTATAGATTCCTGGGACCCATCTGGACCCCCAGTCAGGGTGGTGCATGGACACCCCGAATGACCTCGACCACTCCGTGGTGCTGGTGGAGTTGGACCTGTCAACCGATGGACCGGTGACCCTTCGACAAAACAACTCGGCTCAGTGTCCCACGGCTGCAGCCTGGGCGCGGTGAACAAAGCTCAGTGACCCTTTCCCACCCAAAACGTCCCGAGTCAAAGCCGGGACGCTATTAGAGCTCCAGAACGTGCAGAACATGAATGCTGTTTCTTCTACCTCATGGCCTTCTGTATGCCATCTATGTTGCTGACGTTTCGCTGACATGTCAGTTGATTTTGCCCTTCGCCGCCACTTTTGGCCGACCTGTCAGTCTGTGGAGGTCATGCGGCCCCACCCATCCGCTCATCTCTCCCTCCGCTCATCTTCGTCCCTTCGGATCGGGCCTTCGCTGCCTCGTCCTTCTCAGGATCGGGCGGCGGTAGGAAGTCATAAAGCCTCAGCTGGAACAGCCCTTGTGCGCCTCCGACGCGGGCCGTGAGGGGACCGTCCTCCGCCCAAATCACAGGCACTTGGCGCGAGATCGCCACGTCGCCGGTGCCTAGTGAGTCGAATAGAAACATAAAACTAAAACACTTGAAGTTTCCTGAACAACAATCCACATTGTCCAAAGCCCCAACATTGTTGTGAGGGAGTTGGCATGAGAATCCAGGCGCTACTTTAAGCAGGCGAGCTGCGTTTTCCTTCCAGTCAAGTTCTGAAAGGCAACCAAGTTGCTCATTAGACGACAAATGGTACGTAGCACTCCCCTCAAAGGTTCTGGAAAAAGCAACGGCCTGCTAGCTCTCGTGTCACTCACTGCCCGGGTAGGAATTTCATCTACTCCCAGGGAGCACCCAAACCCAAACTGAGAAACAGAAACTGTGAGGCATTCCAAAGAGTTGTTCTTGGACCGGAGACTGGGCACCCCTCACCCTCCCCCCACAGATTTCAAGACCTGGGCCAAGGACCAACACAGTGAACCGCAACGAAGCAGCGACCAAGCTCGCTACTGTACGAACTGAGGGCCGGACCCTCCTAAACCTTCATCCTGGGAGGGTGATGGGACATCGGCGACATCGGTATGCCTCTCTAACGGGAGACCTTCCAAGGACTGGAGCAACATACACCCTATATCACCCTATGACCCCATGAGTTTGCTCCACCTCCGCCAGGCTCCAGCTCCGGTGTGAGTTGAGAACAAGAAATTCCTGACAAAACTCTTTTAAGTGCTGGCTTCTTATGGCTTCTTGCTACTAGTAGCGATGCACTTGTTACTAGTCGCGATGCCTAGGCTCTATAGGTTTTCTCCATTAATTCCGCGCATGATCCTCAATCTATGCATGAGATCTCCCAATCACAAAATGATGTGTGCCGATGCGACAAAGAAGATGACAAGCTCCTACCTAAATAGCCTCGCCTCGGCCGGTGCCACGATCACCTTGGCCTTCTTCCGGGGCCTTTCGTCTGAACCTCAGGCGAGAGCAGCGAGAGCCGTCGAGGAGCCGCTGAAGGCCAAAACGGCCGGTGCCCTGCTCAGCCAGCCCGGGAGCAGAAAAAGTGTTCCTGGAAGTATTGCCTCATATATATAATGACTCATATATAGCCTGTTTTGTTCTTTTATAGGTTCTTCATATAGATCTGGAATAAGTAGAGAAGGTTGACGAAAGTGAAAGTGATCAAGGCCCAACATCATCCACGTGAGACATCCACAGAACCAGCAGGCCCGCAGGCTCTTGTGTCTTGTTGTTGAGAACTATATTATAGATGGTGGTTGGATAGTGCGCTGAAGGTTTGACGAAGGTCTTTATTCACGAAAATCCTTTCGAACTGAGGCCATTTCTATACTTAGTGGCCACACATGGCACCATTTGTGAAGCAGCGTGCCCAAACTTCCGCTGGGGTGCCAAGCCCATTTCTCAGCCAGGCTCCACCGTCGAGCGATGCTCAGCCGCCGCCAAGAACACGCTGGCCCCGAAGGAGGTTCGGCTGTGAAAGTCGAACACGGCGCCTACAACTAATGCTGAGCCAAGCAAACGAGACATGCCAGGCATACCCGGACACGTCGAATTGATGATAGCCCTTTAAATCTAAAACTGGTGTGTGGACCTGGACAAAAATGGGTCAATCGCGCTGGAAAAAGAACTGGTGCATCTATTACTTGTAGCAAAACACCTCGGTGATCTTTGACCGACCATTCTCTTCATTCGATGGTGAAGCCCCTGTGAAGCCCATTTCGGTTCCTGCACCGCAACCGCAAACGCGTCTTGCCACAAAGGAACTGGAAAACGGCAGGGGTTGGATTTGCCTCAAGATGATTCACAGTCCATGTTTAGGAACGTCTATAAGTGGGAGACATCCCAAATAGAAACTGGAACCTGGCTATTCTGACACCCAGTTCCTATTTGGAAGACACCCACTTATGAATAGAATTACAGTAAGTAGAAGTTTCCGTTTGTATCTACAAAAATCCGCGACGTCCGAACGCGGGGCCCAGCACCGCACCGCACGTGCCCGTCGCGCGGGGCGCCGATTTTCGTATTTTTTCGTCGAAAGGCGGCGCCCTCAGGCAAAGGGTCGATGCCCGGTTTCCGGGGTGGCGCAACATGGATTTGTTGAAGGATGTTGAAGGGAACATCCATGTTGGATTTGTGGCGCAACACCATTCAACACCTTTGAAGGGAACAAAATAAAGGTGTTGAATGGTGTTGACATGTGTGGAAGCTCTCCAAGAGTATGTCCCCTTCAAACCCAAGTCTGAGACAGTGCTTATAGGGAACGAAATGGAACAAACCAAAACGCAAGACCTTATATAACAAAGCCCTTTCGGAAAGGCTCCAGCGGACCTCGTAGGCGCCGTGTGGATCGTAGAGTTGTTTTTTCTCATGTTGATCTGCTCCGCTGCGCCACCGCGGCTGCTCAAGCTATCTCAACCACCCCCGCGCAGGGGGTGTTTCACACTGCGCAGGCTGTGAGTGCCTATGGCTTGAAGCCAATACAGCATCAACACCTTTCAACCGAAGACCATGTGTTGGGGCATGAATGTGGGTACTCGAACCCATGGGGTCCGCGCTTGAGGTCGGACCCCGAACAGAAGCCATGGCGCCCTTGTAGATATGGCCAACTCCATAAAATGAGACAGTGTGTGTGTGTGCACATCTCCAGCAACTGGCAACGCCGTGGGACATGAACATCATGCATTCCTCAATTTCAGTTGGTCTGGGTTTTGTTTTGAACTCTTTGTCTGGGAAGTCAAGCACATTTCGAGGTCAGCTCGCACCTCACATCGCACATCATCTCACTGTTCGTTTCTCAAACCACAAACACCAGTGTCACCAGAAAAGCGGTCTACAGATTCTGTGAGCAACTGTCCTCCAAAAACTGTTTAGTGAATGTTTGACACATGCAGTTGGCTACGATGGCTAGAGGCTAGTTACGGCTAGTTCGCTTGGTCACAGCACCAGCACCACGCGTGGTCACACACGAACACTGCGGCCGCACGTCGCGCGCCGCAGGTCGGGCTCAAGCAACAGCGAGAGGTCGGGGCGACCGGGAAGTTCAGTTGAGAGAAAGTCCGTAACAAATAGCTACCTACCTACCTACCTACCATAACCTACCTAACCAAGAACTGGCCAACAATCACCTACCTACAGTACCTGATCCAACCTCTTCACCGTTGGAACCGCCACCAATCAACCAGATCTTATATGATCTAGGTAAGTTGACGGGACCTCTGTGGAACGAAAATATGAACATGAAATATCTTGAAGCATCCTTCTCTTTTGTCTTTTAATGATGACAACGCAGTGGACATGAGGGTCTTCATGAGGGTTGAGGTTCAACGCAGTGGAATGTCTTTTTCACTCGTCGTGGACTTCGACGGGCTTTCGCTGGCCATCATGTTGGAGTGGCCACTGGAGGACCTTGAGCTGACGATGGCCAGCACAAGGTGGTGGTGGATAAAGGCGACGGCTGCAAAAGTGATCGGGGAGACCCAGAACACCTTCAATCTTAGTATGAGCCATGCATGGGTGTTCTGTTCCGTTGCCTTTCATATCAACGTCTTCCGACATGAATGATCAAAGTATATATAGAGATTGAGGCCGGGTCCTTCTCCTTCTCTGAGAAAAGCAGTCACTTGTCAAACCTGTGGTATGTGTGTGTGACCTGCTGAGAAGAACAAAGTCAACACTGTCTGATAAAGGTAAAACCTTCATGGTCAATGTGCGGAACTCCAACCTGCTACTTGAACCTCACCTGCGGGAATAGGTTACGCAGGACCTGCTGAAAAAAAAACCTGATCCTCCTTTTGGGGACGATTGAGCAGGTATATATTTCCCATCGTTCAGGGCCCATTTCCCACCACCTCAGCTCAGCAACGACCATTTCCATCCATTTTCGCCTCTTCACCTCACCCGGCAGCACCCGTCGTGCGTGTTCTGAGCCCCCCTGGCCACGGTGGCCACGCGAGCGCTCGGGGCACTGCGTCTCGAAGTGGCAACCGCAGCGGAGACCCGCTCCTGGGCGTGCGGGTCTCGCACGGAGGTCGGGTGAGTTCAAACGGGGCTGAGTCGGTCGGATGAGCGGTAGGAGAAAGCTGATAGGGATCAATAGGCTAGCTAGGCTATAGGATGATAACAAATATAATAGCACTCAGACTCAGGCACTCTGGGCCGTGAAAAATATGAAAATGGATTTTGAGGAGGATTTGGGCTCTCTGTACATACATATTGTTCATTTCACATCCCTGCCCATTCCCTTTATCCAAAGGAGGCAGGTTCTGCTCATGTTTCTTGAAAGAATCACGGCACCATAGCCATCCTCACTGCCTAGGCCGCCGGGCGTACCATCATCTTCGCGCAGGCACGTGCACGGCTGCCTCTGCCCCAACAAAACAACAAAGCCCACAGCTTGCAGGTTGGAAGCTGCAAATGAGACGATCACTGCAGCAGTGCAAGTAATTGTTTTTTTGACGCACCAAACAAGAAACATACTGTTACGATTGTGCGACATGGGTGTGCATCTCTGTGATTTTCGTGTGTGAACACACAGGTTCGTCCTTACCATGAAATGATGTGACCTGTCTCCTTTGGTTCTTGCAGTGCCTTGATTCCTAGGCTGTTCCATCAATGACAACACTATAAAATAACAAGTCGTACATCGTGGAAAACATGACAAACACCTGGATATACCTGAGATACTTTCTACAATTTGCCACAGCAAAGAAACCGGCATGATCGCGTACAGTTCCACAATAACTATGTCTTCTTGCTGGTCCGGAAGACCCCCCCACCCGGCCCCACCCCTCCGCGCCTTTGCTTGCCGCGCTCAGCTCCGGCTTTGCGACGGCCGGCCCTGCGGGGCAAAGCCGGCTTGTTGGAGTGACTGCCAGCGACAGAGTGTGTCTTGGCTATTTAGTTTGACACAGATGAAAAGCTCTAGGACAAGAACCGCAAGTGTCAATGGAAAACTCTCTCTCTCTCTCTCTTCTCCCCATCGCCCTCTCCACGAGATTAGCCGAGCAAGCGAGCAGGCGAGCAAATGCCCGGAAAAGCCCTGTTTGTCTTGGCATCTTTTAGAACTCTTGCTCTGCGCCATGTTCAATCTGTTCAATCTGAAAATGGGGGAGCAGGTGGCAAACTGTGGGACCATGTGCACCCAGCAGTTGGTCAAGTCACTTGGGGTTTCGGCGCTCTTTGCTCCCCCAAACATCGCCAATAGGTCATCAAACCATCGCATCATGTCGCATCAAACCCTATGCCTATGACATCCATCCACCATCCTCAACACCGTCCTGCTGAACCTGGGGAAGAGCCGGAAGCGCTGCTGGAAGCACTGCTTTCGCCCTGGCAAAGGGCTAGGGAGGGGCTTCGTGGCCATCCCCCGCGTGCGTCGCCAAAAGTAAGGCCCCAGCCCACAGCCGTGCCACCCAGAAAGCAAAAAAAACAACTAAGAGTAGTGAAGGGAAAAGTCCCGCACCACTTTGTGGCAAACGTTGGGGCTTTTGAGAGAATGAGAAGTATAGCTTGTAATCAAGTTGTCGGTACCTTTTCACCACTGCCACTGTAGACTAGACTTGAATAGTGGACAGGTGTCCACCTATGGGCATTGGAGGTCTTCTGTTTCGATTGTTTCAGTGATTAGGGCACTCTCTGATTTGACCGGTCTAGCTGGAGAAGCAAACCTTGTGGCAAAACGATGTGCTTGGTACTAATCGGCAGCAACACACATGAAGAAACAACCATGTTGATCATAGGGGTTGGAGACGCTCAGAGGGTCTGCTTCAGGCAGCCGGAAGTTGGATCAACAAAAACACAACATGTTGGGTCAACGGGTCAACGGGCCGGTGCAAAAACACCAACATGCACGTAAAACGCATGGCTTTTCTGGCCCTGTTGGACCTTGGCCTGTCGGGGGGTTTGCCCCCCGTGTACCCAACATGTTTGTCTGTTGCATGGAACCTTTCTTCTCACCGTTCCATGAGATTTTGCGTCTCCGTGGTTGACTCCTCCACTGCGCTCCGTTCAGTGCCGGAGAGGAAGAAGCCTTTTGCCGGTGGCTCGAAGAGTTTGACCAAATCATCTGGGCATGACAAGGCCAAGGATTTGAACCCAACGTGTTTGGGGGGCTGGCTGTTCTTGTGCCGTGCATGGTGGTGTTACCAACACATCACCAACACATCTTCAAGTGATCACTTTAAACAACCTAGAGAACCCGGAACCTTTAAAAACATATAGGACATTTAAAAAAAATACCTGTCCGTCACTCGTGGCACACGAACGAAGCCTTCTCGGACCCACGTCCAACCGTGAGAGCCCGGCCCAGGTCCAACCTCACTGTCGCTGGAACTGCTGCCCTCCTCGAGGCGCGGCGAAAACCGCCGGTGACCGCGGTTCGGACGCGACGTTCGGAGCGTTCGGACCCTGGCATTACTAGTAGTCACATGTAGTAACAAGAAGCTCCTATAGTAACAAAGGGCATCGCTACTAGGAGCAAGGACGCTACCTAATGTCCCATCCAGGATGATTTTCAAGGGATGCTGCCCTACTACTAGTCTGATCTGTTCCAAAAACTGTTTCGAACATATCACAGTGGTAATACAGGAGTTAGCTGGTGCAATAACTCAGCTGTCGTGGGGTTACTCTACGACGAGAATGGCCAACTGGTCCCCAAGTGACGCCAACAGGTCACCTCTTTCTTATATCACTCCACTCGTGTCACTCCTCTAAAGACGGCGACACACAGCGACACACACCAAAAACATTAAACACAAACACACCCAAACCCGATGGACTTTCTTGCATCATACTGGGTCGGGACTATGACTGTGAGCTCTGCTCCCAGAATAACCGAAGAAATGCGAACTGCTCGAAACATGAAACAACATATCATAGCAGGCTAGCAGTTAGAACATTATTTTTTAAATATATCGCCAAAACCGTTCATAAAATGTGGTAAACTCCATATGTTGGTATCGCTTTGGGGGGTTCGCTATATCGCTTTACAGTGTCGGAAGCCTTTGTCGTATTTCTTGAGGATTTCTCTTGAAAACATAGTATAGCCAAGAAAGAAAGAGAGAGAGAGAGAGTTTTCCATTGACACTTGCGGTTCATGTCCTAGAGCTTTTCATCTGTGTGAGACTCCACGGTCACTGTGAACATGAATGAAAAGGGATCCGCTCATCTAAACCACATTTTGATCATCCAGGGGTATCGCTTTGGTATCGCTTCAGGTCAAACGAAAATACACATAAAATGATTGAAGAACATGATTGAACATGATTGAAGTGTACATTGTGAAGGTATCGCTTTTGGGGGTTCACTGTATCGCTTTACAGGTGGGGACCCACGAGAAAACCCACAAGAAAACCCACGGATTCCCAGCTCCAGGGGCCCGAGCCGAGTCGGAGCTGACAGCCTCACCAAAGAGGGAAAAATAACAAAATATAACAAATTAATAACTATTAACCAGTCCCTAAGTGAGTGGGTAATGGGCACCCCTTTGAAACTCCAGGACAAAACAAACATACAACATCTATAATTAATTGTGTTATTTTGAAGGTTCATTTGTATCATGTTTCTACCACTGTTCTTTACATATGTTAATTGTTCATCATGTTCGCAATAAGTTTAAGAAACGGTCGTCATAATGCCTGACCGGCAACAGAAAACACAGCTGGCCAGCTGGCCAGCAACAAAGACTCACCATCCCACAAAGCTCGCCAAATAGAACAGAAAAGTCGTGCAAACATTGCAAGCCTCCTGCCTGCAGCTCTTTACTAGCTGCAAGCTCACCAAGTAGACTTGCGACCTCATGACTATCGCTGCTATAGCTGTGGTTGAAGTGAGGTCCCATAGAGACAGCAGTCCATGTTCGATGCTTGGACGATATGTATGACGATCAATACAAATACTCCTCTTCCATGCCATGGACGAGCTCGCTATACGTCTCCGGACGTCACCTGGACGCGCTTGGCGCCGTATGGCGCCGTGTCGGTTCCTTCGTCCTTCACCGCCCCGGGAAACGGCCCGTCTCACGCCATGGCGCCGCTTCAGCTTTAGCCTGACAGGTCGAGATCGGTGGTCGAGTTGGTGGACACCAGGTCTGAAGATGTTGAACCCCTCTGGTGGGTCTGAAGGTCTGTCTCAGACTGAGAAGATCGGCCAAAGTTTCTTGGGTTTTTGACGAGTTCAGGTGCTTCGTGTGCACGACGAACATGGGACTGACCTTACTACTACGGGGGGGGAAACCCCCTTTTTCGCAGCGGCGGAGCCGCAGGGGAGAACTGGTGATCCGCTAGGTGTTGAGAATGTACACCACATCCAAGCATGTACAGTGATAGAAACGACAAAAACAAAGCGACTAAACATCGAATGCTTCAACTTTAAGATCTTTAAGAGTCATGCAAGCAAAAGATTGACCAATCGTTCAAGACTCACAAGGGGTTCTCTGGCATGTACACCTCCTAGTAGCAAGTATGCCATTAGGTGGAGGCCATTGCAAGTAGGTTGGAGGCCATCGCTACTAGTAACTGCCAACTTCTTTCGATAGTCCTCTTCCGGGTCTCACCAGCACGATCGCCTTGGGTGGCGCGGGGCGATCGTGCTTCACATACTGCACGCACTTCACGTCCGGGTCCTCGAGCGAAAGCGTTTGGCCAAACGCTTGTACAAGCACGTAGTAGCGTCCTTGTTCCTAGTAGCGAGGCCAGGAGCCCCTAGTAGCGTCTATGCTCCTTGTAGTAAGGCCAGGAGCCCCTAGTAGCTTCTTATAGCTTCTTGTTCCAAGTAGGTATGACAGAGTGGAGATTCAGGGTGGTACACTTCTGAGCAGTTTTTGAGACACGTACACCACAACATTCCACCCCCATGAAACCTGTATATATACCGGATCCACTTTGCTCAGCAGCTGGAGCATAGTGCTATACTGAAAATCATAAGCTGCAATTAATTACAAAACTACCAAATTCCAGCACTAGAAAGATCCTTTGGGCACTGACAATGCAATCATCTATACTGTAACTTATACTGTATGATGTTTGAGAAACCTAGGGTCCAGATTCTTCGCTGGGTGTGACCTTTGCAGAGTCTGCCAGGCTACCATTGGAGAGAGCCTGCCAGGGCTTTTACAAGCCACTTCCAGCTAAGACGTGATCAAGCAAAATGGTTCAATGTCAACTCAAAGCAACTCCCCCAATTGGTTCTTGCAATGCTAACTGCCTATGGAAAGGTCCACCTTCTTCCCTAAAAAGGATCTGCAATACAAATCGCCGCGTTTCCCTTTCTTCATCCACTTGAATCTTCAGTCTTAACTAACCAATTATGATAAATGTTCAATTGTTCCCTTTCTTCTCCCCCTAAATACCTTTCGGTTCATTGTTGGCTCATGCCTTTGGCAGTTTGCCCATTGAGTGAGACTCATTGGACAACACGTGTGTCAAATTGGTGGACACATGCAGCAAATGCCCCCTCCAATCAGGATGGCATGCAGAGAGCTAGAAGTGCATATTTTGATCCCACCTCATGAAGAGCTTTAGATTTGGTCTCTGGGCTCCTGCCTCCAGATCCAGTGGGCGTGGTGACCCAGCAATTTGGAGCCACATTGACTTCAGGGGACGGACCTTTCCTTGCAGTTGTTCGCGAAATTCCTCTTGAGGAGGATCCTCCTATAGATTATATATCCGGTCCCTTCTGGTCGTGCATTCATATGAATCACGAGGTTTCTAAGCACCTCACTGTGTCTTACAAATGCCAACCCCAAGAAAGCCGCATGCCCTCGCGATAGACACACGCCCACCGCAGAAACGAAGTCCGGGTCCTGCTGCCATCCGAGTTCTTTACCCTCGAAGAAGGTCCACTGCTCTTCTTTCCTAGGGAGGTCGACCCGAGGAATTGAAGATGAGCAAAACGTCGGGCTGATGAAATGGGAAAATGCCATCCGAATGGGATAGGACTAGTGACTAGACTATATAGGCTTATAGGACTCCAACAAGGGGGGGTTCAGCCGTTCTAGCGCGATGCTTGATTCATCTGGATTCTGCACCCAGCATTGTCGATTCTTCTCCCTTTGGCATCTGCTTCCAGCTCCCTTCATGAAACAGTTTCACCGCGTCACCCCCCTTCTGGATTTCATGCATACTTCTGTTGATCAGATGTGCATGCCATACCTGTGACAGGCCGATCATGCAGGATCTAATCCACCTCAAGTGCTCACCGTCAATCAGCCCTTGCAGCAACGGTGGTTGGGAGCATCCAACGGGTCTTCAACGCCGAAGTAACAACACACGCAGCTTGCGCGTGGAAAGCTGCTGTATGGCTCTATGGCTCCTGCACTTCTTGATCCACTGGAGGTGGTATAAGTGGTGCGATAAAGTGAAGCTCCGGAGGGCTGAGGTGAGAGGAAAGCCCGTGTAGCTCGGCCAGTCTGCGAGTGGAAACCCACCTTCAATGTCTTCCATTTTCTCGTGAGTGGGAGTGCCGGCCTTCTGGAAGGTTCTATTTAACGGGAACACTTCCTCTGCTGGCTTCCGAAACGCTTGGCTAGTTGAACCAAAACCAGCTAGATCCAAGTCTGGGTCTGATGACAAGGGTCTTGTCCAGAAGGCCAGTGGAATTGGCATGCCAAGCACACCGCACGTGTCGCATCGAACCCGTGGGTCCCGCGCGGAGCTTCTGAGGGAGGTCGTTGGCCACCGTCCTGGAAGGACACGACCCCATCTGATAGACCACGGGACCCATTTGGTGCGTGGTTTCCCTGTTGCAAAGCCATTTGCGGAAGAAAACATGGATACAAACACGATACAATCACATTACAAAAGTATGGGTTGTGCAAGGCTCAGGACTCTGCACATGGTAGGCTGTGAATCAACCGAATAGCCTTCTCAAATGACAGACTGGGGAGATGTGGTCAAAGGACCGGTTCTCTTCCCACGTCTAGAACTCCATTGAAACGCGTGAAGTGTTGAAGGTTCGGGCCTCCTACGGTCCTACTGAGGGCTATTCAGCCAGGCAGTCCAAAAAGTCTTCCAGTGCCCCATTGGTGTTTTCAGCTCGAACTGGGCTGGGCGGCCCGTCTGGAACCTTAGTCTTCCAAGCCCCACGTGACAAACCAGCAACGGTGTCAAGCCCTTCGCGCGATTCGCCTCTGAAACACGTCATGAAATGGCTGACTTACTTTCTCAGAAGGCAAGTATGCCCTCGTCTTGCACTGGTGTGGTCGAACGAACGAACAAACTTGATCAACAACGCACTGGGACTCACCGACAGGCTCCTCCGCTGTAGAACCCCGTTGGCGCTGGCCGGTTTTGGTCGCTCCAAGACGTGTGCACGGACCATACGCTTGCTCCAGCAACTATGCTGTACAGTGAAAAGACACCCAGCTCCACAAACTGGTTGAGCAGGTCAACAGAGTGGCTTGCAATGGGTGTGGCGAGCACTTGCGCAGCACATGCAGCACGTGCTGTAGCCCTCTGCAGGGAAGCTATTGTAGTGCAAACTTCGCCTCCAAATTACTGGAATCTACTTCAGGATGATCAGGATCTGACCTAAATAGTTCCAAATATCTTCCATCAAAACAGACTCAAAGCCACCAAGTCATACAAGTCTCAATTGACTGCATTGAACATTCTTGAGGCGAAGCACCACAAATAACACTCCGAAACTCCTAGCCAGGCATCCTGGACTTGCCTCACACGCTGCTCCACTCGACTACTCGATCCCAACTCCTCTGTGGAGCTCCAGCACCGAATGCGTTAAGTCTACTTGGCCACTTTGCGAATCCAGCTGGCGATGTCCTTCATCACGTTGTCTTTCAATTTGGGTTCCGCCAACAAATTGTGAAAGCCATCCGGATAACGCACCTGAGTCGGAGGCGGAGCGTGGCACAGGGTCCGCATCATTGCCGATTTTTAGATGTCCCCAAAGATCCCAAAGGAATCTTGGCTCATCTTGGGCTCTATATTGGTTTTAGATTTGTAGGTGGTTCATCGGGGGGAGAATGAAAGCTTGGAATGCTAGTCCCAAAAAAGGTATACCAAGGTGAATGAGGTGGGGATATGACGAACACCTAAGTTCATTTCAGCCTCTTCCTTCATTCCTTTTCGCTCGGTCGGTAGGATTCAGCTCAAGAGTCAAATCAATTAATTACTATTATGATCTATTAATTATGTTATGAATAACAATATAGAAAATATTCGAAGATCAAAGAAACGCGCCATCAATCTAAGTGGTGAATCTGTGTGCTTTGGACTGATTTGCTGTTGTTTGTTTCAGTTTCACGTGAAGAAAGAGCGAAACGAACCCAGGATCCCAAAGATGACAAGGCTGGTGACCTTCCTCTCCATCGCCCAGGACTGCGCCCAGGACTGCCGACCACCCGAACTTCGCGCCCGGCCACGAACTGCGAATGCTCCGACTGCGTGAGGCCGCGTGGAGGCCATGAGAAGCTCATGGCCGGCCTCGGTCACGACCTGGTCCCCTGTGCCCCAGAGCATCAAGACCTGGGGCTCATCGGGTGAGAGTGATTGGCCGGTGAGAGGTAGAGAAAGTGGGAAGAAAATATCTAGAAAATTTTGCATCACTCATCCAGATTAATGGCACTTGTTTGCAGTGAGTGGGAAAACCCATGGAAAGTTGAGGATATCTTGAAAGTTCTGTCTTGTGGACCTCCTTCCAAGTACAGTGACATAGAGGAGATCCCCCTGACTCTTTCAGCTCATTGTGCTTGGAACCAGTCTGTGTTTGGAGCCCGCCCGTCGGATGGACCAACTCAAAGCACCCCAAGAGCAAATCCCGCCAAGTGACGGGCAAAGTGAGGCCATTCAAGTGCGTTGGCAATTCATCTTGCAACCTCAACATCTCAAGGATGTAGCCAGGAGTGAGCTTACCTCGACTGACCAGAGGATCTTCCTGGCAAACTCAACGGCAGCGGCAGCCCACCGACCGAAATCCTCACGAAACGAAACAGCTGTCTTACTGCAAACTTAGACCATCATGAATCATAAACCTCAATTTCTGCGGAAAAAAGGGGAGATGTGATTCGATCTTTGAAACTGTTGCTTCATCTAGATGAGTTTTCGACAAGCTGCACAAGCTAAACCCCCAAATGGGTGACTGTGCATGTGACTGTTGTTCTATATTCTATAATAATTATGTCACAGGCGTTTCTTTCCTAACGTCGCGGCAAGGTGTGTTGTTTGTGAAGAGAGCTCGGTGACTTTGCCCAGGTCGCCTCCCATGCCTTCAGAGCCGCGGCGTCGCTGACGATCCTGAGGCTCGGCGTAGCTCGGCTGTTGGATGCTTTGGGAGCCATTTCTTAGCTCATCTTAGCTCTACAGTCTACAGAGTTCCATGTTGGGGTGCCTTTTTCAGTTCCATCATGATCATGTATGATCATGTCACATCCAGTAGATGTGACGTTCGGGCACCCCCGACTTCCTCGTTCGGAAGTCAAAACTCCAATGGAAGGAACTGCTGGGCGGTCTTGGCTTTTGACCCCATCTGTGGGCCTCCTCGATGTCCACAAAAACCAAACAAACTCATTCAAAAGAATTAAATTGAAGGATCAATACCCAGCTAGATGACCTTCATGCATACAGATTTTGCAAACAAACAGTCTGATTGGGAACTTGTGCCTGTGGCATCCTGAGGCCCCCAAAACGAACCGAGGATCAGCTTGGGATCGAAAGGTGGCTTCAGGGGCCGCTTGGGCACCAAGAGCCCCAACAACGGCAGCAGCAGCTGTCGCAGCAGCGATGGCTTCACCGCGGAGTCGATTTGGAAAGCTCCGGAGAGGCCAATGAGACCAGTCCAAAGCCTAAGAAGGCGTTGTGGTGAGTTTTGGGAGACGTCCGCTTCCAGGCACCTCGAGGTTGGCTTCCGCACCATGTGCACCAGACTGGCTTAGAAGGCTAAGAACCCAAGAGATCTCAGTCGAGACTGAGTGGCTTCCAGACTCTTGGGCTTTCTGATCTGCACTATGCGATGGCTTTGAGGAACTCTGGACTGGTCTGACGCCCCAAACGTTAACCATTATAACGTTGAAAGGGTCTCTTGCGCTGCTTGCGCTTGAAACTGGTTGGAGTGGGGTAATGATGGGTAATGCAGTACTCATGATACTCCGCGCTCCTCAAAATCTGGATTCCGCCCCAAAAATACTGAATTGTTCAAACTCCCCCGACAATGATAGAAAGAACCCTCACACGTCCAACAGCTTTCACATGGATTTCACTGTGTTTCACTATACTTTTATAGAAACCCCCGTCGTCTGCCACTTTTGTCCAAGCCGTGCCCTGCAGGTCTTTTAGGTGTCTCCCAGTACCAACGCTACAGCGGTCCCGATCCCCCCGCGAACTCCACGCCGACTCGGCCCAGCGTCTGGCGTGCCGAGGGCATGGCGGCCGTCCAGGCGGTGAAAAGGCCTCCGATGCTCTTGCCCAGCAAAAAGCGAGACCTGCAGGGCAGCACCAGGCCAAGCAACCAGTTGGCTTTTGCATGATTTGTTTTCTGTTTCCATGTTTGTCCTGCGAATCAATGATGATCGTAAAAGCATGTTGAGGCGGTAAATAACTCATGGCTTTCCCCACCAGTGGTCTTCACGCGGTTCAGAGGCTGACGGATGGATCTCCGGTCTGAGAGAAAGATCGCAGGAAGACACATTAAAAGAAGCGTTCATAGAGTCATGCCGCATATCATTTGCAAACTGCTTCTGAGGGCCTTCAATGTTCACTGGCCGAACAATGACTGAAAACCAAGTGAACCCATGAACCCTGTCCTTAAAAGGCCGAACGTCTAGGGCTGGCGGACTGCCACCGACCAGAGCGGGTCATTCTCCTTTCTTCGACCCGACCCGACCAGGTGGAAGAAGGCGGTCGTGCTCCCGCGCTCCACACGCGGAGAGCGCCTCACGTGTGCATAGGAGGCCCCGGGGCCATGGATGCGGTGATAATCTGCCAGGATATCGCCCGCAAAGGAGTCGATGCTATCCTTGACCCGCTGCTTGACATCACAAGGACGAGACCCCTGGAAAACCCATGTTTTTCCGGACTATCCTGGAACAATTGCCAAACAGGATCTCTCTCACTTTGATGTTGACTTGGGTCATGTATGACCATGAGCTGTCCCTTAAATCTCTATGAGATCTTCATGAGTAGTTACCGAAGTCGCACTTGCTCACTCCGTCGAACATCACCCCCACCCCGGCCAAGGCGCCACGTAGAGCCTCTCCCCGTCGCTGCGGCCCCAGCCACGCATGTCCGAGGCGAAGACGGCCACGCCGTGCTGGGCCAAGGCGGCGCCCAGCTCCGCATAGACGCCGGAGTGGTCCACGGTGCCATGAACGATCCTCATGCGGAGTGGTCCACGGTGGGACATGGAGCCCGGTGGGTCATCCCGAAGAGTTCGAGGAATCCGTGAAGATGTGATCCGCGGTCCAACCAGGGTGGCGGGAGTGAAGGTGTGAAGGTTGAAGGTGTCACGCGTGCCGTTGGCGGACTGGAGGAGAGGTACGGTGCATCTTTGAAGTGGGTTTCGGTTCTTGGGTTCAGTGAAAGACATATCTGGAAGTGATAGAACAAACACAAGAACAAGGGGTGCTGCCTGAAGAACAAGTTGCTTTAAGGCTTTAACCTCTGAATTAAAGTAAATTCGGAACCTGTTGGCTGACTGTGACTGTGGATGATCAATCACCCAGGAGGTCTGTGGCCATATGACCTGCAAACCCCCTACGCCACAGCACTTCCATAAACCACCTGCTTGCAGTAGTCCGTATGGCCGCAAAAACTGGTGGTAGTCTGTGTTATTTCTTTGGCGCTGGTTCAGAAGAGGCACATCATGGTTGCCCACACTTTTGACTTGTCCTCCAGGTCGGGGACGCTTCAAGAGTAGGAGTAAGGGCAAAAATGGGTAAGGGTAAAGTAGTGAGCCAACGTCTTTTGGTGGTGAGCCAGCCGCCTCGCATTCCTCCAAAATGGCCTCCCATTCCTCCATGAACCCATAGTGCCGCGACGGATTAATTCCCAACCAAAAGCTACAGGATCAACGGGTAAAGGCTCATTTACATGCCTGCCATGTCTTGACCCTGTGCACTGCAAAACCTGAAGCGCTTTGCTCTGGACTTGGTGTGTGCTCGATGCACCAGCTCAGCTGCGGCCGTTCTTGGGATCCGCCCCACCGGTGGACCGCCTCACCCCATCGACTCGCTCCTGCGGCTCCCAGGACCTCGTGTAGAGCCACAAGCGTCGATCGAAGGATCGATTAAACTCGCCCAAGAACACGACGGCATCCGAACCTCGGCGACCCAGGTGAACCTGGGGGTGCGCGCCGGAGAAACGGTATCACATTGGAGGACACCCTCCTGCTAACAGCTTATATAATTAACACGTTTAACACTAACACTGGAACACACACAGGCAAACTAATATGGTGTCCTGCAGGGGTATGTTTGGGTACACTGACGCGATGCCATTTTGGGACCGTCATCTTCCAAGTGTACCTACAACACCGGATGGTGTCACCCTTTGCTGCAGTTTCGTAAAGGGTGGGAATTCCCTAGCCTTCCAAGACCATTAAGAAAATGGTTGACCGGTATTATAGTCCGGAATCCTTAGTAAAACAATGGTTGCTCTGTGCCAAACCATTGCCTCAAAGGTGGAAGGCCAGGACATGTAGAAATTCTCAATGTCCTTCCTTCTCCCAGAAACAGTGGCCATCTTCAGCCACCGGCGGCTTGTCTTGCTCGTACATGATTGCCTGATGAGGCGGCAACGTTCTGCCACAGCAGCCACCCATGGCGAGGCAGAAATCCTGCGGCGCTGCGAGCAGCGCGTTCCGTTTGCTGGAAAGTGCCTGGGGCCAAATGCTTTCAGCGTGGAGATTGCGGCTCAAGTCTTGACAGAGTGTGCCCCAGGTGACATGCAACAGAATCGCGCAAGTGCAGTACATGTGCGGCAGACATTCGTGAGATGGTCATGTCACGGCATCCTACGTGACAATGGCACACCTTTCGAAGTTAGGTCTCACCATCTCTCACTCAACTATCACGAAACATTGTCCAAGTTTTTGTCTGGTTCAAAACCAACGTCTCCAAACAATACCCTACACCGGCTGGCATCTGGCCTGAGAAACCCTAGTAGGATAGCCTACGTTCATAAATTATGGATGCGTGTGAAAGCTCTGAACCGAACCCGATGAACACCTAGACATTGACATCATCTTGCAGCATAAGTGGGAAATGTTCATGTGAGTTCTCCGTTTCACCAAGGAACAAATGCTGGATGCTCCCCAGGTCCCCCACCAAAACCTTAAGCCAACCAAGCATGATGGCACAGTTGGCCCCAGGTGAGAAGAAAACCCAAACATGAACCTCAGCAATAACCCCACATAATATCCTCAACTATCCTCATGTCTCACTGCCCTCGAGAGACAATTCAACATCATCTTGGTCTGATCTACCGTCACAAGTGTAAGACCACCTCCCAGATTGGAGCGGCTCTTTCTTGATCTAACTTGCGTATAGGTCTGGATCAAGTTCTGATCTATCCATGGATAGGTCTAGCAAGGTCTAGCTCCACCAGCTGGCGCTCTGACATAAGGTCCAGTCGCCCCGAAAAGCGTTCGTCCAGTCCTTGACCTTTAAAAAGGCAAAGTTCCTGCGGTCGCCTAAGCCCTGCGCGATCGGCGAGCAACGACCGGAACGTGGATGGATCGCCGACGAATATGTCGGCGCACGCGCGCGATCGACGGCGAATTTTAAGGTCGACATGGAAGTGGAGATCACCGGAAAATGCGTTTCCAGTGGACAGTTCGTTTCTTTCAAGGAACCATGCCATCCACTTCCAGTGAGTCGGAGTCCGTGTAATTGTATAGCTGATATACTCAGAAAAGTATTTAAGGTTTGAACGAATCTAGCCCTTGAAGTGAGTGGAGAATGGGAATATGTCGTGAGACAGAATGAAGGTGACAGTAAAGGAACATGTTGCATTTTTTAAGACATCATGACACCTTGCCGCCTCTCTCACTCCATAGATTATCCCATTTAGAGGCTGCAATGTGCTTTAGAACCTGTTGATATAATGTTCCAACCTTTCGAGAAGTGGTAAATCAAAGACCGTCAGCAATTAGCTACTGAATATACAGCTCATTGGGATCGCTGTCCAACGCCTCCAAACATAGCTCCAGAAACCATGCCGGTTCTGACTCAAAATACTCAAATGGAACAAGGTCACCTGCCCGCCGAGAAGAGAACGTGCTCTCGCCCGCCCACGCGCCTCGGCGATCTTCCAACGTGCTCTCTCCTCGATCGTTCGGCGGTCGTCGAACGTGGTGTCACCCGAACGAACCGGCGTTTCGAACAGAAAGTCCTGCAAACATCCCCCAAACACGACTAATGGGACTGCCATTATATGCCTACCATGAGCTCTCAAAACCATGAAAAAAAAACAGGTTTTTAACAAAAAACCTTTGTTTTGCACCAGGGGTGGTGCCCATGGTACAGTACATTGGGGTGGTTTGGGGGGTCAATGGCATCTTCCAGTCCTATGGAGTGGGTCCAGCGACTCCAACCTCCGCTGACGATCCGACAAGAGGACTGTTGATCTGACTCCAACGTCCGCCGACTCCAACGTTTGGATCCGAAAAGGTCTTGAGTCGATGTTTCTTGCTCCAAGATGTCACCTACTTAGAATCGGACAAAGGGTGACACGGGCTCTGGCTTTAAAGGAGACCATTAGGTCTTATCCACAGCCCCGTGGCCACACTCGTTCCGACGCTTCCGACGCTTCCGTTCACATCGTTCACCTGAGATCATCGATGGGGTGATCCTGTTGCATCCCCAACGCCCCCAGGGGCACTCCATCGATGTCCAAGCTCTTCAACCACCAGAAATCCGATCGCGGCAGAGGTCGACGTACGTCAGTCCTGGGAGTAGTAGAGAAGTCTCCTGGCCTCCGAGGAGCCTGGCGCTGCAGAAACGCCGCTGCCGCGCCAGAACCGCTGTTAGGGACCGTCCAGTGTTGCACCAAACATCACCAAAAATAAAGAAAAGAGCAGCACTCTCTTCACAGCCTGCGGGAAGGTAACGCTCGTAGGCTGCAGAGCCGCCAAAGTCTGGAAGTCGCAAGTAGAGTCCGTTCACGGTCCTTGGAGTGACTGCTGTGACCTCCAAAAGGCTTTGGAAAAAAAGTCGGTACTAACATGTATTTGAGGTTCAGCACTTATGAGCTCCAATAAGGCAGGATTGCAGGGAGGCCAAAATGCCTCGACATTTGGACCATTTGCATTTGAGTCTATGAATCCGCTGAGTACGGGAAGAGTATATACAAGCCCTTGAAGATGTACTGCACAGTCTCAGGGGTGGTTTCTGAAACCCTGGAAGGACAGTATCTGTGGAAGTTGGTCCAAGGTCCCAAGCAACGATCACCAGTCAAGCTGTTTCATGCTGCCAGCCCAACTTCCTTGGATTCAGAATGTTCTCAGGTCATCCTGCACGGTCACTCCATAGAGTCCCCCAAGCTTGGGCAGCCTGGCTTAAACTGTTTAAACTAAGGCTTGGTTTAAATGCATAATATGTTTGAACAAGTCCGTGTTCAACCCAAAGAGTGCATGTATGTTTAAACAATTGGTATGTATATGGTCTATGGACTAAAGTCTGCATGGCTCTATATGTACTTCTATATGTCTATAGCTGGTAATCAAATAGAAACCATTCTCATCATCATCATCATCATCATCATCGAAGCCTGTTCAAACCATGTTAGAACAAAGCAATCCCCAAAGCCGCTGTATATAAATGTCTTTAAACAGTTTACAGGTTAAATGGTTTAATGTTTAAACGTGTTTGACACGACCCCGGAGTCACCCTCTGTGGGCACGCACTGGAGGGCACGCACTGGAAACATGCAGATGGTGATCCTCTTTGTTCGTCACATGTTGTGAAGAACCATCCTCCCTCCATCACTGCTATTGATGGACAAAAAACACCACACCAATCCAACCCCATGTCAAGACAAAATTCTGCACCAATCCAACCCCATGTCAAGACGAAATTCTGCGCCAATCCATGCTATTGATGGACGAAATTCTGCACCCCAAATCCACAAAATTGACTTTCCAGTTGAAGGAAAAGGCTGCAAGCCATAGAATCCCTCCCGATCGACTTGGTGCAGGATCCGAACACGAATCCGAACCACGCCCCGATCCCGAGCGAGCGCTCCGCCCCCCGAAGACCCAACTTTGGCACTTTCCATGAAGCTGACTGATGCGGTGTATACTAGACTCCGGATTAGTTCATACGACCCATTTGGATTGAACAGCTTCGGGGGAACAGAAATGAATCAACCTGTACAAGTGTCAAAGCCAAAGCCCAGCCGAAGTACGCGTGCCGGAGTAGAAAGCCGTCCATGCACGGCTCCAAAAATGAGGATCCATGCGAGAGGGATACATCCAACTTCCTCGCGTCAACAGCACGACCCCCCAAGTAATCACTCCATGCTACGAGTTCTTCTTCTTCGGTGCACGCCTGCAGCGTTTGCGGAGTCCGTGGCCAAAACGCTGAACGCCACAGTGACGGGCTGCGCCAGGACAGGCACGTGGTTCAATGATCCGACCCTTTGGCAACAAAAACGGGTCCATACCCCGATCTCGAGGGTGAATTGGGCACAGGCTTGGTGTAGGTTCTCAATTGGAACCTCGGGTTTTTCCATCAAATTTATGGGGTTTGGGTGCTATCCTATTAGCAATGGATGATGATTATACTATATAATTTCTAGATATTTCTAGGCCTGGTGCAGAAATAGTGATACTTGTTTATTGACGGTTACAAATGTCACAAGTAACAGGACAAACCCATCTATATTAGCAATGGAGCATGCTTCTGCCCTGCCGAACGACTGTCGTCCTTCACACCTGGGCGTTCGCGCCGCACCGCGCGCGCCGCGCCCGCCGCGCCCGAGGATTTCCACGGCGCCCGTGAGCCGCTCGACGGCGACCGTGAGCTGCTCCTGGGAACCGACCGGGCTCCCGATGCGCGGCTGAGCGGCAAGGGCGGCGACGCTGAAGAAATGGTATGGATACTATAGGATCATGGATGAACTCATGGCATATGAAACAGTAACAATATATAATAATATATATATATATGGTCAAGTTTGGCTTGGTTTAATTTAGTTTAGCGGTTTCACATGTCTTCTGTGAAAGGATTCGGGTGTGGCCCTTTGGAAACTGTTTGCAATCAAGTGGAAGAATTTGGCTTAAACAAAGAAGCAACTTCAACTCGGTCAATCAACGTCAAACAATGGGTGCAGTTTTATTTGGTGAATTGTTTGCGATGGGTTTGGGAGATCTTTTTGCGGTCGTGGTTTCTCTCGCTATAGTTCCTCTAGTGGAAGTGGAAGGCTAGCTGCTGGTAGAAGAAATACAATAACTGTCCAGGAGGCAATTATCCGTGTCCATGACTATTTCAGGGCTGGGGCCCAGTCTAGGGCCTGTGTGCAAAAAATGCCACCAACTGGACCACAAGGCAAAACAAAACTCCGGCTGCAGGGCGAACACTCATGAGACAAGTGCATCATAATCGAGAGTTCTCGGGAGTACAGAATGGAAGAGTTCTGTCCACACGATGCACTTGGAACGTCCTTAGGGTGAAACAATGCACAACCAGTAGGGCAGAAAACAAACAACAAGAGTAGGAAAAGTAGAGAAAGCTAGAAAGAAAGCCAGAACAGCAAGAATAAAGCAACACAAACTCAAGGCTTGAAAAGCTACTACAAAAAAGGCAACAAAGGCCATAGAAAGCAAAAGCTATAGTAAAACAGGCAAACAATACGCCACAAGACGACAATAAGCAGGAAAAGCAACAAAAGCACGAGAAATCACAGGGACGCAATGAAAGGCAAAGGAAAAGCGGGGAAAAGCAAAACAAGAACAAAAGAAATGAAAAGCAAGAAAAGCCGGAGCAAGAAGCAATGAACAGTAGGAAAAGCACAACAAGCACAAAAAAGCAAGAACAACAGCAGGGGAATTCATATGTAGAGAAGCAGTGAAAAGCCGGAGGAGCAACAAGAAGCAAATCCAACAAACAATTCACTAAACGCAACACACCAATTTTCCTGAAATAAAAGCCCTCCTCAAACAATCAGCAGCCCAACAAAATTCCCTCCCCCAAATCAACATGGATTTCTGGGATACCCCACACCTCATGCAAGCAACCTCACCTGCTCTGTCCAAAAATCGACCTTCACCCTCCATGAATATTAAAGCATCTTGAAGATTCTTGAAGCATGTCCCACCCAGCAAGAATCTCAACCCAGCAAGAATCACGCTGCACTATGGTCACACTGACGCTCGTCTTCTATGTTTTTTCGGCTCCGCGTCTCCTTTTGGTTCTTCTCCAGCTCCGCCCTCTTCCCTCGCTTGGGCGGCCGCTGCTTGGACGGCCGCTGCTCATCACGCTGCTCGTCACGCTGCTGCGGCTGCGCGCGTCGCTTGGGTGGAGCGGAGGTCGCTTCCTCCGCTTCCTCCTTCGCCTGCAAAAGGTAACCGGTGAACAAAGAGGAGGCCACCTTGACGCTACGAACCGAACCCTACCTCGGACGCTATGTATGTGGAGGGGCATGGCAAGTAGGTTTGGAGGCCATCGCTACGAACGGAGCAAGAAGGCTACTATAGGTAGCAAAGAGTGATTCTTTCCATTTCTATCGCTAGTAGGCGGCCACCTTAACATCAACATCACACAGCACCGGTGGGCAGGGTGATGGCGTTGCTTGGTGCATGAGAAGCGGCTGAGAAGCATGGAAGTGGGAAATTGGCTCGAGCTGAACTTGTATGCCAATGCCCCTTTATCAGGCATATGCAAAAATATTCAAAATTGATCAACATTGCACGTGATCGTCCTGAGCCAATACAGTACTTTTTTGATCGGTGGGAGTGGTCATCCAGTGCTACCAGTGGCTTCCAAAAGAAGTGATTTTCTCCAAAGACTCCAAAGGGTCCCGAAAAGGTACAGGCCTTAATAAGCGGCTCGAAGGTCGGCCCGTCTGTCTGGACGCAGTCCGAACTCCAGAACCCCAAGATCCATTTTACTTGGACATCCTTGGACGAGTCATGGGTTTGTCTCACAAGCATCGATCTTCCCTGTTCAATAAGCGCTTTCGGACGCTATGCTCGGTGGAGGCCGCAAGCAGGTTGGAGGTCATCGCTACGAACGTAGCAAGCAGGTGTGATTCTGTCTATTTCTTTCCTGTTTCCAGCCCGTGCCCCTATGTTCCCACGGCCTTTGCAGACACCTTGCTTCGGCTCGAAGCCACCTTTGGCTTCACTCCAAGCCTGGTCACACAACACGTGCACCCTGGGTGACTGTGTGGCGAGGATCAAGTTCATCATTCCTCCAGATGAAACATGCACCTGCTCCTTTTGGAATGCTTGTCCCATACAGGCTGACCACACAGATGTTTGTAGTGTGTATGGGAGTGGTGTGGAATTTTCCACACTCCATGCAAAGAACTCCAAGGTCCATTGCATGGTGGAGAATCCTCACAGGATCCTACAAGTTCTGTATCGGAATTCCAGGCATGGCACTGTCAACACATTGAGCTTTGAAAGGAACTTCTTTGGGCCACATACTCTGTTTAGGTGGGACCAACCAAGAGGGTACGCTGTACAGAATTCTTTCAGAACACCTGTCCAAACGCTTGGCCCGAAAGCAAGTTTGGAAACGAGACACAGTAGAAGCAAGCAAGTTGACAAACACATTATTGTATGTTGTATTGTGTTTCCCCGCGCGCCTGGCATAGGCCTCGCTGCGATACTGCTCAACTTCTGGCTTGGATTTCCCTAGCCTGAGTCGAGGCGGACATCAGTGGAATCAGGTGAAAAGTCGATCGATGTTACTCCAATTCAACGACATCTACCGGAATAGAGAGGAACAACAGGAAAACCCATTGTTTGCGTTCTGACTTACCAAGTTCAGAATACACAAGTCAGTCACACGATTTAATATACCTATATAGACCCTGCAAAAGACGTCTTTCTTTCCGGCACAACGACCTCTTCTCCAGGTCGTCATGGATCGAAAGGACGTCCTGTGTCGCTTCGTGTCTGGGGACGCAGCGTGCCTCGTCGAATCGCAGCGTGGTCCCTATAGTGATGGTCTTCCTCAACTATAGTGGATTGAGAGGACCAATGGCACAAACCCCAAGGTCGGTGGTTTATATGAACCCCCATGTTTTCAGGACATCGGTTTCGGTCTGTGCCATCGAGCCTCTGAAACCACTGTAATCTTCTTGGGCAGATGGCACTCCATGGCCCTCCTCAACACTAGGCCTCAGGCCTCACGTGAGCAGCTGACCATGTTTTGGTATCTAGCTTGTTTGAGGAACAAAACCACCTGTTTCATCCAAAGCCTGGCCTTCCCTGTAAAAGACAGGTTCCCTTATTATGTTGCAGTGAGCATCTCTTTTTGCGCTCTGAGACCGGTGGCTGGGGATGTGAGATTCAACACTCAAGCATGGAAGTGGACAACCACCAACCACCACCTGCTTGGTCTTTGGATTGCATATGATGGTCATGCGACAATCGGAGCCATGTTCCCATGCAGGTAGCCATGGATGATTTCGAGCACTTCCAGCCCTTCCAGGATCTGAACGTCCGCTGTAAACGAAAAGCGGACGTCTTCTGGAGGTCCGACGGCCACTCCCACTCACCCAGGACTCCCACTTACGCCAAGTGAGGCCCGGACTCGAACTGATGGTAACATGCACCTGGCTGAGCGGGCCATCCCGGTCGAGATTGAGCGGATCACGACAGGTCAGGGTTGTGATCCAAATCTGGCCCCTTCTGTTCATCTGGAACCTTCTTTCTTCATCTGAAACCAATTGCAAAGCCCCCCAAGAAAAGGGGATGTCTCTTAGCATGGGGGCTTCACCATCCCTTAACCTCTCACTAGAGGGACGTTACATGGTTAAGGATGATTCATTCAAGGGGTTTGCAAGGATCCCAGCCAGGATCACTGCCCAGATCCTAGGATCCCCACCCCCAAAAAAAGTTATAAGGTCTTTGCATGTGTTTTATCCAGGAAATCTGGACTTGCTCCATTCCACCCTCTTCACCTCTCGTTCCGTTCCTCCCCCCTTCACCGCTCGGAGCCCCGCGAGCGATCCGCATGGCCGCCTCCCAGCAAGGCGAGGTGAAGAAGGTGTGTGGTTTCTTTCAAGGGAGGACTGACTCATGGCAAGTGAAACCTTGTGAACAAATGGAACGTCCGGTCCTTGGCAGAACCCGTGCACAGTGACTGGGTTTGACGATGTGAGTGTGTCAACGGGGAGCCGTGGGTGAGGTGTTCGGATGGGAGACCATCATAGAATTGCAGACCATGTCTGGGAAAAGAAGGAACGCATGGAAAACTGGCACCCGGAACCTGGAACTTCTGGTCAACAGTCTTCGGGTGCACATGGACACAACTGGTCCTGAGAGGAACCTCGGGGTATACTGATGGGGATGTGAATCTTGTGGAGTGCAGCTTGTTCCCCAAATACAGCGAGAGCTATTATTGGGGTTCTCACATCAAGTATAGGAGGAGGTGCCTGTGTGCGTTTTGGTGCCTAGCTGCTGCTGCTTCAGGTGCTGCCCACAAACATCTGTTGCTATCTATATAAGCGGGTCTGTATAATATTCTGCCGGTGTTTACCGTCGTTCCTGCTCCCGAACACTCAGCCGTTCCCTCCCAGACTCCCCCAAAACAACCACCCGCCGCCCGTGTTCGCGGACGCCGCCCGCACGACTCGTCGCGACTTTGCGAGGCTCGACGAGGTCAAGCCTCGAGGTTTCCGAAGGTAGCGCCCACGGTCGTCTGGAAGTAGGTCGTCGTCCCTTCACTTCTGAACCTCAGAGACCGAAGTTCAAAACGCCGCTCACGTCGCGGTCGGATGCTGCGGGTCGGATGCTCCGTTCGGGGTCGGACGAGATGGGCGGGCCATGGGAGGGGTCTAAGTCTGATACTTCTCAGGAAGTACTCGAATCCTTCTGTTGTGCATCTCGGAGGTGTTGAAACATCATGAAACATCATGAAACACATGTACTCGGTGCAGCGAAACACATGCATGCGGTGTTTCGTCCTTGTGCTTTCGCCTTTATTAATGGCATGGCCCATGATAGCCCCAAAACTTGGAGCTCTTCGACGCTACTCCATTGATCCAAAAAACGGATCTCAAAAACAACAGTGAACACATGCATCTGCCTACTCACTGAGCGAACCGCTCTATGCTGCACCCACCGTCTTCCCGTCAGTTCGTTGCGGGGATTCCGTTGGTTCCACAAGGATACGGACCCACCACCAAAGAGGTCGAAAAATGAGTTGTTTGTTGCTTTTTTTTCTCCGGCGCCCAGGCCCAAAAGTGCAGGCTTTCTTGGTCTTGGAGTAGACGACCTGTGGCCGCCCAAAAGCGCGATCCGGCGAAGAAGGCGGATTGCCCAACAAAAACTCTAGAGCCTCTTTGAAGTGCTTTCGGGATGCCGAAGTTGTTCACGTTCAGGGCTTGGGGGTGGGAACTCCCCTCCCGTCTCCCGTGGCAACTATGGCGGCACATCGATGACAACAGCTACGTGGGATTCGGTGAGACTCCGACCACCTCTGCGATCCAAGTCTGTCTGAGGTGGCAGGAACCGGGCTTCTGGGTTGCTTTGGTGAAGGATTCCAGCGATTTCATATGCTGATCGGCTTTCTGTTTGGAGGGTTCCGGTGGAAACAATGAAGCTTTGGGAAGTGTTGAGAGGGTTTCAACAGCTTGGGGGCATGCAAACAACATGAAACACAGCGAACCCAATTTTCAGAAAACACTGGGAACCCTCTTCCAACTGCAAAAAGCCGTCCACAGTCCACATCACTTGTCTTCATGAGACATCCAGGCCAGACTGCGTGCTCACTCGCCTGCCAACCGACACGCTACCGAGCGATCACGGTCAAACACCTGGCCTTGCTCCATGCAAGGCTCGTGTCTGGCGCATCCTGACCGATCATGGTGAAGGAGGCGGTGCAGGTGACCCGGAAGCGTCAACTCTTTTTCTTTTTGGCCCTTATTGAAGGGCATAGGATGGCATAGGGCGGAGGCGAATGTGGTCCCCGAGGGTCTCGATTCGCAGGCAACAAGAACCTAAAGAGTGCCAGCATACTTCCTGTCCCTAGGGTTCCAAGTGCCTTCTGAGAAGGTGTTCCGGGTTGGCTTGGAGGATCCGAAAGAATGTTCCGGGTTGGCTTGGAGGATCCGAAAGAATAAACAAATAGCTCTTGAGCAGGTACTTGGAGCGGGTTGGGATTTCAGGATATATAATTAATATATCAATCCCCGGAAAGCCAGGTGGAGGGCATCCAATTCCATTAACCTCTGATTGGACAAACAGTTACACTAGCAAGCGGTTGGGGAACTCCCCTCTATCTCCGAGGTTCAGGTGTCCCCTTTCAAGGAGGAATGCGCCCCGGTTTCCGAGAGTGCGCAAACATTCGAATCACCCCCACCAACGCCGTAAAGGAAGCAACATACCGAGTTCATCATGGACATCTTGAAGCGGCGGAGGTCACTTTTTCATGCAAAACCCCCTAATTACACAGAGCAGTATCAAATGATTTACCGGCGCCTCCACACATGGATTTCTTGTTGCCGAATCTCTTCACCCCTTGTCTTGAGCTTCAGATCTGGAAGGAATTCGGCGCTTTCTCCCGTCCTCCCGTCGTCCGCGCGGACCGTCCACCCGTCGCGACCACCCGTCGCGACCGCGGCGAACCTCGATGCCCAAAGCCTCGAAGTCCAAGTCCTGTGGAGGCGACAGTCACCGCAGCCGCAGCTGACGAGGCGCTGGCGACAAGTCCAGTCCACGTGGCGACCCGGCGGACGAGCTAGCAGACGAGCGTGCTATCGGAACCATGAGCACCAGAACGAGCCATGAGAACCATGGGAAGTGAAAAAACAGAACACAACTGGAGGTGTTGGTGTCGAAATGCATGTTTATCTATTTAACAAATCGTAACAAATTCATCTTGGTCTTTGGGGCAGTCCGTGACTCCGCGACTGACTTCGAAGGTGGGACACCGAAGGTGGTACTCTCGGTTCACTTCGATAGTTGTACCAAGCATCATAAGGTGTGAAAGAGCTTGGAAGCAACAAAAAAGCAAAAAACAAAGACCCAATTTCAGTGTATCCAATGCAGTAGGCGATCCTTTTATGCCGGGCCCATTCATCAGTGCCTGCCCTTCGGATCCATTAAATCCTGCTTGGCGATAGATTTTAGCACACAAATTGAGTCCACCAACGAGCGACCGCACCAAGCCAGGCAGAACATGGACTCCGGATCGCAACAGGCACCCACTTCCCATTCCATGCAAGTCTCAACGACAGTCAACCCATGTCAACCCCAAATCCAAGAAATGGCCCCTGATGTTTCATGGAGATCTTCCACATACACCAATCAACCACCTCCCCTCTATAGGCCGGCCTCTGGAGCAGCCACCGGGCGTGGCGCCGCCACTGCGGGAACGGCCGCGTGAAGGTCCTGCAGAGTCCAACGGGCTTAGTTAAGAGCCCCTTTTCATCCCTTTTCTGTGGGCATGTCTGGACCAATCCATGGCAGAATGGATTGCCTAGTGGTGGCTGGATTGCCTTGCATGTGAAGCCATGCCAGGGGATGGCAGGGCAACCAGGCTTCAGTTTTAACGGAAACCCACCAAAGAGTCTTGCGACCCTATGCGCCCAAATGATGGTTCTCCAATCTTCTCCATCACAATAAGCGAGACCGGACCCAATCAGCCAGCCATCCCTCAATACCCCAAGCTGCGGAGGGACCAACTTGTTACCCGACCACAACACTCAGCTGGCCTCTGAGTTCTTGGAACCTCAAAGGGCCTCAACGCAGCTGGCTGCGCAGTCCTCGACTTCCTTTGCCTTCTTCGGAGCTGGCTCCTGCCACCCAAAGACAGGGCGGGACTGGGGCCGCTGCCTTTTGGCGGGAAAGAAGGACTCCCACTGACACCCCTGGAAGAGACCCACGTGGCTGGACTCATGGACCTTTGCAAGACGATTTTTCCTCTACAACCCGACGTGGTTTTCAGGTTCGTTAGCTTTCTGGAGTGTATCTGTGAGGCCCAAAGAACGCTGTCCCACAGCTTGGTGCACATGGAATCAATACGGATGGCGGCCGACACGTTCCGTTGGTGGAGCAAATCTGAGGCGGCCGCTGTTTCTACCATTCTGTCTTGCTCTGGTGAAGGAAAATCATGCATCGAAGCATTTCCAATTTCTGTCAGGCGATTATCACTCTTTATGTTGGATAATTTGATTGCATTCAGTATCTTTTTCTTGGGTTCTTGGACAGGTGAGTACCTCCTGTCCCAAGTAGAACGTGCGTCTTTTATCGGTCGCGGGAGTGTGAAGGTTCGAGAGGTCGCAAGGAGTTGAGTGGATTGGTGGCCTCGGTGGTGGTTTCAGATTTGTTGAACATCTATGGGATTTCATGGATTCAGGAGGCAGCAACCCACTCAGATCAAAAAGATTGCAGGATATTGCTGGACACGACAACAAAACCTCCAACTGTTACAGCTTCATGCCCTATCCCAAAAGATTCGACTTGGCTTAAACTCCGTGCTGGCGCATCTTCAACGATTAGAAAGCTGTCCAAAAGCACCGTTAGGTGGTGACAATACCTCACCAACGAAGGATTGCCAAACGGGTTCATCACTAGACCTGCGTCTGCCCGTGCCACGCCCGGCCGCCCCGCCAATCGAAAAGAGACAAGCCGAAGATAGCCGAAGTCTCTCGGCCGTGCCGTGTGGCCGGTTCCGCCTTGATGCCATTCTCCACTTCTTTGGCCCGTTTTGGAGTTCGCTGCTCCTGTGGAGGTTAGACCACATCAGACAGTGCCGCCGTTGGTGCCGGAATTCTTTTGGGGGGAAAAGCGCCCCCTCTGACTGCAAAGAGGCACGGCAAACTCATATACAATGATGGTAAGTCATCGGAAGAATTCGAGGATCTGAACATCCAACCTAGGTGGACTTCATAGACATGAACTGCTAAAGGAAACAACGCTCCCTGGGACTGCCATAGGACTGCCGATCAGTTGGGGTCGGGTAGTTTGGGGGGTCAATGTAGGCATATATTCCATACATGGAGTGTCTGGGAAAGGAAACAATCAGTGCAGCGAACAACTCCAGAAAATCCATCTGTATTGCTGGCTCCTGGGCAGTTGGCTCCATAGCTTCTTTGCGCTTGTTTCGTCGCTCCTGGTCAAATGTTGCAACTGAGAACCCTGCGGCTGCAAAGCCCCATCTCACACAAAGATTGGATCAAACTGAAGCTCGGCAGGTCACCTTTGACCTCAAATCAGGAAACATCAGGAAACCACGGTCAGCTGTTCTGTTTTGACTGAGTGAACATAAATGAACCCTGAACATGTAACCGATGAAGAATGGATGTCCATGTCCCAGGGCACACAGATCACCGTGGCGAGAAAACACCCCATAGACGAGGAGGTTCCCACTGAGTTGCAGGATTGCAGTCAGTCTCATTTCATACCCATGGTATCCCATGGTTCTTACCTAATTTGCTTTTCGTCTTGAAGTTTCTTCTGCGAACCACTCTTCATGGGTGGCGCTCTCTTGATGAGATCTTCTGCTGCTAACAAGGTCTTGTCTCCTTCGGGGCTGCCTCAATGCTTTCTTTGGAGGCAGCTCTCTTGGGTGTGGTCTCCTCCTGAGGGAGGCGCTTGGCATCCAACCCAGCGTTGCGGGACGACTTGGACGATCTCAGTTGGATGTGCAAAAAGACTCATTCACTTCACTGAAAAAACATGAAAGGTGAAAGTGAAAGAGGTCCCGGTGTGATTCAATTCCCTTGCTGCATGGCATCTGTTTCGTTATACCATCTGCTTCCAACAAAAGGATCTCGTTTGCAGCCCTGAAACTGTTGATTGCCACCAATGCAAAGCTTGGACACCATCAGTTCCAAGCGCCTTAAAGGCCACATACTGTACCCCCCCACCCACCAAAAAAACAAAACCACTTTCAGTTGCCGTGTTCTTTCCCAAACCATGCGCATGTGGGAAGAGTTACCGGTCATTGGTCACCGACCCCGGTCAGTCGGTCCGCTTCCACCGATTCAGGGGACCATGTTGGCCAGATCGGTTGCCTGAGGTCAACCCTGTGGCCTTAGTGGCCGCTGGCCAAAGGTCAAGCTCCTGGTCGCTGTTTTTTGTGTCACTCTTGAATTCCAGTTTGGGGCGAAGGACATCCTCCACGGCCCCCACTGCCCCCCTGGTTTTTCCGCTCCTGGAGGGCTTCCTTGGAAGCTGTAGTGACCGCTTCATCCTGGAGCTCAACCGGAGTCAAGGACCCGATCAACAGGAGTCAGTCTTCATTCGACCGACCCCGAACACTCCTTAAACCAACGGTCCGGTGGTCCTTTTGTTCCTGCTTGGGTCCTAATGAATTGAGTGTCTCCCTCCCAAAACGCCTAATTCCTTCCCATGAGGAGCTTAGTCTTAAAGATCCCTCTTCATCAAAAGAATCATCTTGAACGCAAACCTTCTAAGACCTTCAAAGCGGGGAAGTGATTGAATCAGGGGCTGAGACATTGTAGATCATGGTATTGAAACGACATTACCAAGCACTTTATATACTTGAGAATATCATCCATGTTACATATCGTATGCGGTCTAAAGGCCACCCATGACCTCGGCAGTCTGGGCAGTCACGCCTTCATCCACCTTCCCATGCGTGCACCCCTGCAGTCCTTCGGTCGTGCCGCGCTGCGCCACTGTTCGAGCAAGCTCATGGTGTCCCCCTACACGGAAGGCGGTCAAACCGCAGGACGGCTGGAAAGACGGCTCGGCTTGTGGCTGAGGGGATCCAAGGGGATCCAAACGTCGCAAGCAGCAAAGGACATGGGCACGTGTTTTTTTGTAGGTGAAGGTGGGCTTGCAAGAGATTGTGTTTCGTCAATTGTTGGGAGCAATCATGCAGGTTTGCCATGGTTTGGGGCTTGATTGATATGATTAATCTGGGATTGGTTCAGCGCCTCTGTCACCGATTCACATTGCAATTGACAGGAGAGTTGAGGTGAGTGTCATTAAGGAATTATATGGAAGTATACAAACTTTGTACCATTCAGTATTCCAATCTTTTTAATACTTTCCCTTCACAGTTACTCTCAATGCAACAGGGCATGGCCGCCGCGCCTTCTCCTTGCCAATGCATCTGTTCAACAAAAGCACCCTTAATTTCCTTGGCAGGGCTTGAGCTGGCTTGGATTCTGGTGCTTGGTGCACAGTGGACTTGCTGCCATACAGTGGATGTAGCCAAGAAGTTACAACTTACCCCAACTCTTGGCTCAAACAACCCCTAACGGCCAACTCCCCCTCCAATTCAACCGGTGTTTCACATGTTTCGCCAACGAAAAGATCCACAACCCAAAACCTCGAAGAAGCGAAGGTCTACACCTTTCGGTGTCGGGGGTCCTCTCACTGGGGTCCTTCAGGGGGTCCTTTCATGTCATCGGGTTTCCTGATTTCTGAGAGCATATACTCTTGATTAGGAGTAGTGGGCCACAACTACTATGTCACTGGCCCACACAAGTCCTAAGTCACCGGTTGGTCGGTAGTAGATGTCCTTCGGAAGGTGTAAAGAAGCCGCCGAGAGCACTGGATTTTCCGACAACAGCCTCGACCGAAAAAGCGAGGAACCACCGAGGCGCTTGACATCTTCCACCGGCCGACCCTCCAACAACCTCGGTGTGTAGCACTGTGCTCCAAGAGCATCCCTCCAAGCTAATAGCAATTAAACTATATAAATATAAGACCTCTTCTCCTTCTCTTTTTTCTTGGTTTCTATTAGCGATGGCATTGATGGCCTCCAACCTACTAGCGATGGCCTCCAACCTAGAAGCGATAGCCTCCAACTGGAAATAGTTACACTGAGTTACACTTATTATTATAGATTGGGGTCACAATGTATGATCTGGCCATAAGCTTTTCACAGATGACGCGGCTGGTCTGTGGTGGCGTGCGGAAAAAAACAGATGTGGGAGTGTACATGGTGTCCTCAAGTGTCTTGCCTGTGACTCCTTTACTCCTCTCTTGTTGGATACTTTGGATACTCAACACTCATACTAGTAGCACACATACAAACAAAATCCTGGGAAGTTGTGTAGAATGAGAACTTCAAACCTGGCCACCCCCGAGGTTTAGACACATGTTCTTGCATTCTCACATGTTCTCACTTTCGGTGGAGGGCACCGAAAAAACCTCAAGAAGATGTGTCGAAACCTGTGGCCAGATCTGGTAACAACTTGAGTTTGGCTTCGTATTTGTATCGGTACTGTTCTCCTTGCGTCGTTTCGCCTACTCTCCTCCTGTCGCGCACCGAGCCTTTCGGCCTTGGGCCGCCCGGCTCGGCGCCGCAGAGGCGCAGGATGCGCTCCGCATCGTTCCAGTCCACCTGCGCCGTCGCATCGAGCGAAGGAAGCGAAGCTTTGGCGTGGCCCGGCCGCGGATTCTGCAGCTGTTTGAAACGGATGGTGTCTGTTTTCATGCGCTGTTGGTGTTTCAGGTCGCGTGCTTCTCGCTTAATGTGCAAACAGCGAATGATTCGATGGTTGATGCAATGTTTTGTATCAGGGAGTCAACATGGCAGTTTACCCTCCGCATCCCTCTGTGGATCCTTCAAATGATTCTTCCAAAATCAACCCTTGACAACAGGTGGGTATTGGAAGCGCAAGTTCTGATCAGTTCATGGAAAACATCTGCAAGTCTTGGAGGACGTCACAGTCTGTCAGCCCTGCCGCGGCACCCAGTCTGTCAGCCCTCCATGGAGCGAGCGCGGCGCTGACAGTCGGGAGAGGAGGAGCCTTCATGGGATAGGTCGGGTGGTTTCGTGGTTTCGTGGCTTAGTGTCTTTAAGGTTTAGTTCAAAAAAGGATCAATAAAGAACCTTTGACAGTGCTGAAGCTGAAATTGAACCAGCTCTGGATCACAACACTGAACTTCCAGGAGCCGCACTGCACGTGCTTAAGACCCTCACCGGACAGCACACCTTTCTTCCAAAGACCGTTCTTGTCCGTCACATTTTGGATATCTTTTGCCGGCACTTTGCCCACGTCAACGGGCATCATGGGGATGAGATGAAGAAATCAAACTCCAACAGTCTTCTATTCTCTTCCACACTGCTTTGCCAGCGTCTGCGGGCGGGTGCACCTTTGATCCTTGTCGCAGGTAGGTCACAGTGAACCTGGGGCGGTGTGGACAAGATGACTATAGGTGAGATGAATCACAAACTTCATCCTGGAATCGATCGAGTGGGTTGGTGCTGATGGTGACTCCCTTCAAAAGGTAGTAGATGGTAGTAACTTTCTGAGTTCCAGTGTGTTCCTTTCCAATCACATCTCGGCAACGCCAGTTTTATGACTCGGTCAGCACAAATGAAAGGACAACACCTTTTTTGTGAGAATCAACGTGGTTTGAGCTTCTGAACTTCTGGACTCCCAAACCATTAAGGTACCTAGTATTTGCACCAGTTCCAAAGCACTGGGTGCCCGTGTCACATCCACGACCCCTGGATGAGACTAAAGACCACCATGGCCTTTGGACTGGCCTTTGGACCTCCTGGCGTATACACCTCTTTTGATCAACTTCCTTGTCACTCGAGAAAGGAAAGGCCGGTTGTTCAAGCGCCGCACGAGGTGCTCTTCCCCGCGAGGTTCAGCCGAACGTAGAGCCTCGGACCGGACCCTGTCCGCGCTGCCCGGACGTAGAGTCCAGCGACCCTGTCCGCGCTGGGCGTGCACAGCGAATGGGAACGATGAAAGACAGATTCCATGAGCCCTAGGGATCCAAGTACCTCCTCAAAAGGTACTTGGACCCTCCAAACCCACCCCAAACACCTTCTCAGAGGGTACTTGGATCCATAGGGGAGGGATATTTGTGCCATGGACAGAGCAAGGCCTCAGAATGAAGGCCCAAATTCTTCAAGCAGGGGAATGATACGGGTTCTATTCTTCAAGTGTCGCATAAAAAACAGAGGGAAGCTCCCAACATGTCATTAGTGGAACGACCGCCTTCTGTGGATGTTTGCTGGCAAAGTTCACCATCGGAAAGAAAGGAGTAGAGAAAGATGCCCAGGCCAAGCGATCCCGGGTGGCTCTGCCCAAGGCGATCAACAGTCGATGCTCTCTTTTTGAAAAACGCCACCACAGTGTCAAAATGTCCAGCATCCAGTTCAACAAGATGACTGGGCTAGTGAACTTGAAAAGCTCCAAAGCAACCAAGTAACTCCATATTAGGTGGTCTTTGGAGTGATCTGGGAGTGGAGTGCTCCAAGAACTCTTCCTTCTGCTGCTTCTGCTCCCCCCCAAACCTGCAGATCCGGAATCAGCTGGGCCCTCGCGCCCGTTGTTGCCAATGTGCTTGCAAATCTTGACTTAGCATGCAGCTCCAAGTGGCAGGATGCGTCAATCCATGGGGCATTTTGATGCCGGACATGGCACGAATCGCGCGTGGAGATGTTGGTTTCAAGGAGGCATTTTGGGGATTCTAACGTCTACGCTACTCGTAACAAGATGTAACAAGGGCATTCATCACTACTAGTAACAAGAAGCTACTAGTCAAGGCATTGCCTTCTTGCCATCGGAAGGCCACCATTTCACCGATTCGTTCCTGCAAGGGATTGAGATTTCGGTCGTGTGACAAGAAGGTTTTGTCGGGTGCGCGATGCAAGGTGTCAGTCCTCTGGAATCAGTTCTCCTTGGGGCCCCGACTCTGCCATATGGGGTGGCCCGGTGGTGCATCCTGCATGTCACCGAAAGGGAATCAGTTGTCCTTCAAGCTCCCTTGGATATTTGCGGTGCACACACACCTCCACCCCTCCCTTTCATGCACATAAGTCATTGTATATTCATTCCCTTGTCCCCTCATGTCAACTGTGTATATCAAAGGTTGTAGCACCACACAACTAGAACACCTGAACATCTTTTGAAACAACTGGAAGGCTCGGGAGGCCTATCAAAAGGAGATGAGACAGAACATGTACATCAATACATCAATATCATCAATATCATCAATATCATCATCATCATCATCATCATCATCATCATCATCATCATCATCAT